TCACCACGCACCTTCGATCCTCAGGCACAGACACTACGTATGTGCAACTCACGCAGCCATGCTTAACTGAATTATATACCATGCATATAATAGCGCGCTGAATGCTAAGCGGCAATGGACAATTGAAGCGGAGATCTATGTACGTTAAGTTTATGGTAAAAAGTTGATCCAAAAATGTTGAAACACACAAAAAAATGTAGCCCTAAGTTTGCAGTGATGATGAGATGAGAGCAGTGTAAAAACCATCAGCAGAAGCGAAAACGATAACATTTTATGTGGTGAAGTCTGAAAATGATTTAATCAAGTTACCAAGTAAAACTAGTTAAAAACAAAACACGAATCAACACGGATTGAAAAACAAACAAACAAACAAACACAAATAAGAAACGAGAGCAAGTCGAAAAGTTGCGTTGTATAATTTTGTAATGAAAAAATAACTTGAATAAGCAAATTCTGTTTTGTTTTTATTTAAATTACCTATGTACGTTTATTTAGATTTAAAGTAATTAAACGAAAGAAGCGGAAAATACAGAAAACATTCAACAGTCTAATGTAAGCGAAAACACAGAAACATGGCTTGCGCCGCCTTTTGACTACACGTATGCTGCTTCCACTCCAGAGCTCTACATCAGGCAAGTACGCACATTACTTCCATCCGCCAACCAACCAACTCCTTGCCTTTCAGCTCCGAAGCGCCAGCTCCGCCCGCCTGCTCAGTTGAAGATCAGGTCGTTGTAGTTGCGCAGCAGGTGGTAGGGCGACACGCGGCAACAGGTGGTGGTGCGCACCACGGTGATGCGATCGGCGCGCTCGAAGTTGGCCTTGACCGTCTCGTAGTAGCGGCCATCGCTGGAATGGAAATACTCCTAAATATGGAGCACATAGCTAGGCAACAAAGGAGACCCACCTGAGCACCATGCAGCGCAGCTTGAGGCACTTGACGCGCAGAATATCGATGGCCTTTTGGCTCTTGTCGGAGAAGCGCAGGTTGTCCGGATCCCAGCGCAGCTCCAGGCGCTCCAAGTTGCCGCAGTTCGAGGCAATGGTGTCCATCAGCTGGTCCACGTGGATGTTGACGCCCAGCTTCTCGGCGGTGCCCATGACAATGATCCTAATTGGGGGTAAAGGGGTAAGTTCAGCGCACTATATCGCTTGGTGACCAATAGGAGCTCCTACTTGCAGTTGCCCAGCAGGGGCAGGATGCTCATCCACAGCTGGTCGGTGATGTGGGGCATGCCCGAGAGGCAGCAGGCGCTCAGCTGGTGACCCTGGCGCTGTATGAACTTGAGCAGGCCCTCGTCCGAGATGTTGTCCGAGGAGTCCAGGTCCAGGGAGATGAGGGACCTAAGCACATGACTATCGGAGTATTTGGCTCATGGAGGAGGAAGTGCTGTTTCAGCTCACCTGGTGGTGCCCGACTCCATCCACTGCTTCAGAACGGCGTCGTTGAAGCCATTGATCTGGCCGGCCGACAGGAACTTCAGGCTGGGGATCCTGGTCAGCATGTCCACCAGGCACTCGGGCGAGAGATCCGTGGCCGTGATGTCCAGCTCCTGCAGGGCGCACTTGTCCCACTCGGCCTGCATCACGAACTCGGACTTCAGGCTGGTGCCGTTCATCAGCAGACAGGTGAGGCGCTTGGAGCGCTGGATGAGGGTCTTCAGGGTGGAGCCGGTCACCTTGTTGCAGAAGTTAACGGCCAGGCACTCCAGCTGGATGCAGTTGGAGCTGAAGGCGTCGATGTGCGAGTCGTCGATGAAGTTGATGCCGTACAGATTGATCACACGCAGATTGGGCGTGGCCGACTTGAGCTTGTGCACGTTGATCACCTCGTAGATCTCCTCCTCCTCCTCCTCGCACTTCTCGTAGGTGCCGATCAGGTGCAGCACCTCCAGGCCGTTGATGAAGTTGTAGATCTTGCGCATGAAGCCCTCCATGAAGATCACCTCCGACAGGCAGACGCACATGTAGCGCAGCTTGGTGGGAAAGGCCTGCATCTCGCTGAAGTCGTGCAGCTGCATGGCTACAAGGTACACATACCCTAGAGCTCTCTGGAGCGGATGCAGTGGCGCACTCACCTGTGGAGAAGTCCAGCAGCATGTGGGTCAGATTGGGGCACTTGGCGGACAGTTCGTGGAGCACCGTGTGCGTGATCAGTTCGATGGGCAGCTCGATGTAGCGCAGCGTCGGGCCGAATCTCACTGAGATCAGCTGGAGCAGCATCTCCAGGGAGCCCACGTGCAGCCCGGAGACCTCCGGCCGCAGGCTCACGTTCTTCCAGAGCCGCGTGTCGTAGGCAATCTGGCGCCATCGACGGCAAATCCGCGCCAGGCGGCAGATCTCGCGGTGCGACAGGTACGAGAAGATGTGCAGCAGCACCTTGTCGGGCAGCTTCTCGATGGTCTGCGGAGGAGGAGCATGACATGGTTATAAAGACTCAATGCCTCAAATGTGATCTTAATATGGAACTAAACGTGCGAATGGGAGCACACACAGCCTGATGGGAATGTGGTGCTATTTATTCTACGGGCGAGTGATTCTATAGATTCTCTCTCGCGGCTCTCCCAGTTGTGGGCGCCCAAAGGAGTATCCCAAACCCATAGTACCGTGTCGGCGAAGGGACTGCGAACTGTGCCATCGGAGAGGTACACCTGGGAGGCCTCCACGGCCAGCTGACCCCAGATATCGGTGGATATATCCATTGCTCAGGGATGAGTCGCAACCACTTGCTTATTTGCTTATATAAAATATAGCTACACACTACGCGTGCTCCGTCTGCCAGCTGAATATCCGTCGTACCGAGCTACTTTCGCGCTACTGCGAGCCGCATTCCCATCGCCTAGCCATCGGAATCTCCAAAGATCCGCCAGGCAATAGACTCAAGAGAGCCCTAGGCGTATTTATAGACCAGCGCCAGTAACGAGAGCACTCTGGTCTCCGCTGCATCAGCTGTGCTGTTCGCGGGCGCCCACCTCTCACGCACTCCCTGCACCACCGAACCACCAGCACCACCACCCACCCTTGCTGCACGCGGAGAAACATCGGATCGCCTTCAAACCTCCTTCGTTCCTCTAGGGATTCAAGATCAGCAGTAATGTTAATGTTCCCCAATGGATCTCCAGATACTTCAACATCTCTTGCTGCCATCCAAAAGCATCTGAAAGCGGTTCTGTTTCCTGAGGAATAATCTGCAGAGTGGCATCCTTCAAAGCCTGCTCTTTCTTCACAAGATTCTTCAACTGGTATCATATAATATAGTAATAGCTTTCGAGCCCCTTTTCTCTCTCAGTGCACACAAGAACGCACGGTGTTTGTTGCCAAGATTTATGTACCAGCGCCCGTCTGGCTTTGTTTTGTTTACCACATCTATATCTACATCTATATCTGTATCTACAGCTACAGCTGTACATAGTGCCCATGTACAGGGTACTCACCAGTCGGGTCTTCACCACGCCCGAGTCGTGCAGTCCGATGGCCTGCGAGGAGGTTTGCGCTGCCAAAACATTCCAATTATCCATTGCTCTAGCTCTTGGATCGGATTGGGATCAGCCGGGAAGCTGTTCGCTGTGTCTGCTGTTTCTTCTGTTTCTGCTGTACAATATGTGGTCTTTCCGGATCCGTCTGGTTATATCTGTCTGTGTAACTGCGGGAATGTGCCGGCTACATGAGCTATGTGCGCTGTAGGAAGCAGGAGCACTCATTCATGCTAAACTATTGCTGCGAGGCTTTCCCACTTAGTCACTCTGCATTGCAAGCTAGTTATTTGCAAATTAGTTTGCAAGCACCCAAGTTGGGTTATTTATTTATAATTTATAAGCAATCTGTATTGTATTCAGTTCATGCAGAGCATTTCTAGCAGATTGCTTAGTTTTCCCCCATTTTTGGAGAGCAAACTGGTCAAGTGCAAGCTTAAGCAGCAGTTGGTTAAAGCAGTTACTTAAAATTGGTTGCTTTTTCAGCTAATTACCCATTTGATTAGTTGAAAAGCGAATGGTTAGACACTTGCTACAAGCAAAAGAGCGCGAGAAGGAGGGCGATTAATTAATTAGTTGCTGCCTGCAGTCGATTAAAATAGCGAATTCACAATTATGCAAACTTGGTGCACACACATTGTTCACTTGTGCCTTTGGATTTGGATTTGGGGCCACATCAGCATCTGTGCACCCTTCGCCCGGGTTATTAATAGTTTTCATGCGGCTGCTGTGGCGCTGGTGGAAAATTGGTTGGCGTTGCAAGTGTCGTAACTTTCGCACCACAAAGTTGCACCACAGGTCGCGATCACCGGGAAGTTCACTGGTTCGGTGGCCAATTACTGGCAAGATTCCTACTCGCTAGATTCCGGCGGAAAGCGGCGGACTGGGCGACTGTTCCGCGTTCTCGACGGCTCCACAACTCTGGGGAAACTGAGAAAATCAGGCGTCCGCGGAAAATGGTTTATGCCAAAATCCACTCGGCTCGTTGGTCGTACCACATACGGAGTACATGGGCATGTGGGGAGGTGGGCATGTGGGCATGGTGTCATGTGGGCATTGGGGCACTTGGGCACTTGGGGATCCGTGGATATGGAGGGGTTATTCGGGGCCGATCTCTGCGAGTGCAGGCGTCATTTGCTTTCCCATGGCGCGCGGCCAACAGAGGGCGGATGCCAAGGGGCGTGGCCATCGTGGGCAAACAGGCATTACATCTGCCATTTCCTACAAAGTATCTCTGATTTATTACTGGATTTAATTCAAAAATCGGCACTAAAAGCTGGCAATCAGCGGCAGAAACCTATTATACTCTTATCAACTTAAATTTGATGATAGTAGTTTAAGAAAATCCCCAAACTAGAGGACATTTAAGTTGGCAAATAAGCTGTAGCGAAAGTAATTCCTAGTAATCAGATTGAACTGTTTGTAATTTGATGAGTGGCTAGCGCCGTGGAACATGGAACCTTATCAGCTTCATGCATATAATATATAAAGCAATCACCCAGTAATTAATTACTAATTCCTGCAAGCTTAGCAGCTACGATTGCAATTAAAGCTTGCTTTTATTGGTTGCAAATGTGATAAGGGCAAGGAGCTAAATGGGTATCCTCCTGACTTCAACGATGTGGATTCCGTATGCCTGGTTCTTCCTCACAAACTCCTCGGACCAATCGCCGGTCAGGCAGCCGCCATCGCAGTGGCAGCCAAAGATGTTGCACGATCCCTGGCCGCAGTAGGTGCCCACCTGGGCGACGCCATCGGCGCAGATCGTCACTTCGCACTTGAGCGGATAGTCGCCACTGCCGCCCACGTCCTCGCAGTCGCCCCTGTCCATCTTGTACTTCACCTCCTCCCTGGAGGTGCAGCACTCCGACCTGGCCACGTGGACGAAGGCCAGGCAGCCAATCCCGACGAGCAGCACGGTGACAACTGGGGATGTCATGGTTGGATTTCCTTTGAGAACTGATGCTTTTTCCCTCGGGAATCTGCCCTTTTATACGCTCACCGTGGCTGAGCAATTGTGTAAGTGACAAGAAATCCGCCAAGTTAGCGAAAATGATTTCGGTTAGTCGGAAAATTGATTAGTTTCCCAGAATTTTACTTTAGATGCAAGTTGAGCTGAAAAACAATTCAAAGGAATTTGAATTTAAATGCATCGATTTCACTGATAACTGCACTTTTTACGAAAAACCAAAGCCCGTAGCGACCTAGCGTATTAGTTGTTTTTAAAAGTAGTAATAAATAGTTTGAAACGCAGATCACTTGTAACGGAAATCGGATTTGAATTGCGCCGTTCGGCGTTGCCAGACCGCGTCCACCGTTAGCACTAGCTTATTAGTTTAGTATTTAAAAATAGTTTTAATTAGTTTGAAACGCAGACCGCTTGTAACGGAAATCCGATTTGAATTGCGCCGTTCGGCGTTGCCAGACCGCGTCCACCGTTCGCACTAGCTTATTAGTTTAGTATTTAAAAATAGTTTTAATTAGTTTGAAACGCAGATCACTTGTAACGGAAATCCGGCTTAAATTGCGCCGTTCGGCGTTGCCAGACCGCGTCCACCGTTCGCACTAACGCCTCCGCCCGTTCTGATCAGAAGGCAGCAACGGTTGGCTATTTCAGTCGTTTCTCTGCCGCTCAACCGTTCGGTTGCTGCCCGTTGTTGCTGCGCGCCTATCGATATCGATAAACGTAGGTGTGTCTGCAGTGCACCTGTGTGCGTCTATGTGTCAGCAGTGCAGTTTTCCTATTTATCCCGAATTCTGTGAGAAATGTGATTTGGAAGTATTTTAAACGTGCCATTAATCGCTCTGCGCAACCAGAACCCAGCGGCTCAACTGAAAATCGAAAGCAGTTGCTGCACACATCCAACGCTGCAGTTTGTTTATATCTGGTACAGTGCGCGTTGCAAGCTCTTCTCTGTGTGTGTGTGTGTGCGTGTGGGTGCATTAGAGACGCCCTAGAAGTTGTTGTTGTAAAAGTTATCGGATGCTCTGGATCCTCGAAAAAGCAGTTTGTAAACAAATAGATTAGCTGCAATTTGTTTGTAACTTAGTATCTTGTATCTTGCACCTTAGAAAGTTACGATTTAATTCTGTAAACTCACTGATTGTGAGAAATAGCCAAAATTCCTATGAAATTGGCATAAATCCGAACCCATTTTTTATAGATGGTAATAGTGTGCTTCCCCCTTTGGGAAAATTCAAAACGAAACCACCCACAATTGCGCTTAGGCAATCGTCTTGAACGAATTGGGTGTAATTACAATTACGAGGAATTAGAGAGCTCCAAATTGCCAATTAATTAGGGGTAACCCAATGAACTGGACACACATGACCGTAAATATCAGTTGAACATTCTGCAGCTCCAAGTAAGATCAGCCCGTCTTAATGGGGATCAGCACATAAACTACTTGCCTCTTGCGCAGCCCAAAGATGAAGTGCCTCCTTATCACTGTGTAGTAGTTCATTGATATAGTTCCTTTATTTCAGAGCCCAGGAGCCCACCGATCCGATCCCAGACCCACGATGTCGTACTACGCGGAGCGATCCCTGTCCCTGCTCTACCCGCTGGCCATAGTGTCCTCGCTGGTCTGCTGCATCACCTCGGCGGTGGCCTGGTCGCACTGGCAGTACGTGCTCAACGCCTGCCCGTACACCAACTGCGGCTGCGTGCTGCACGGGAAGAGCACCTTCAACAGCTTCGAGGGCGGCAACATCGCCTACTGCCACTTCGCCACCTACGGCCTCCTGCTGCCCCTGCTCTTCGCCGTCGTGCTGGGCATCTACCACGGCTACCGCATGTGCATTGGGCGTGGCAAGCCCAAGGCGGGCACGGCCACCATTCGGCAGCGGTAAGCTCGGGTGTCTGCGGGTCAATGGGGTTAATCGACTGGCCTGGCCACATTCGTCTGCGTCTGGGTGGGCCGCATGCTGATGACGAGCGACGACCACGCGGCGGATGAGTAATGCTGCCCAGTCAGACGCCATCAACTAACCACTTGTACTGCCCTCTGCTTGCAGCTCCGGCGACATGATCGTGGTGACCACCGAGTCGGAACTCACGCCCGATGGCCTCTCGCCCTACTACTGTGAGTACCCAATATATATACTATACTATAGTTACCTTGTGCAATGCTTGACTTCCGCAGGGCTGCCCGCCACCGTCATCTCGACGATAATGGCCGTGTACCAGCTGGTCTACTCGGCCGTATTCACGGACGGATTCGAGGTGACCTGCAAGCATTACAGGGAGGCGCTGCTGAAGGAGATCCAGGGCGTGGGCAACATAGTGCCCGTGATCAAGTCGCGTCTCTCCTGCGCGGCCGTCTTCGACTTCATGGACTACCTGGTGGAGAGCGTTTCGTACGAGCGGCGGCGCTACGGGCGCATCAACACCGCCGCCTGCCTCTACTTCACCCTGGTCTTCGCCTGGATCGCCCTGTTCGCCTGGCTGCTCATCTGTGTGCTCAACGTCGTCCACCTGCGGCGCACGAAGGCCGCCCGCGTTTGAAATCGTGCCATGCACCGGGAGCAGCGCATTCCTGGCCACTTACACTAGGAACCGATGAACTATAAGCCACACTTCACCGCACATTCCCCTTTAACTTATTTATTTGTAGACACACAGCCAGAACGTCCACGTTATGAACGCATGTACAAATATATGTATGAACAACGAGCGGTTGTCCAGATCGCAAGCCTTTTTACGATATATAATGCCTAATATATATATATGTATACAAAGTGGAGTACACTTTGAATTTGAATATAAATACACAATTTCTGCATTGTTAAGCTTATGTATTTATGCAAACTTGGCATTTGAAATCACAGTTTATAGATGGATAATTTCTGCATTGTTTAAACTTATTTAAATTAAACTAATGCAAATTTACTTCGCATAAAAAGACATTTTTACGATATGCCTAATAAATATATATGTATACAAAGTATACTGCAACACTTTGAATTTCAAAAAGGATACTTTACTTTGCATAGGAAAACAATTTGAAGAAAAGTACATCATTTCTGCATTGTTTAAGCTTATGTATTTAATTTGTTTAAAGTGCAAACTTGGCAAGGGAAATCACAGTTTATAGATAATCATTTCTGCATTGTTTAAACTTATTTATTTTGTTTAAGGTGCAAATTTACAACGCTTAAGAAGACAGCTCAAAGAAATGTTTAAATAATACGGAAATTGCATATGTATTTCCGTATTATTTAAACATATTTAGTTGGATACAAGTGCATGCATATTGGCATAAGATGATTTAAGCTTATTTATTTAGTTTAAAGTGCACATGAGAAAACACCATTTAAAGATACATAATTTCCGTATTTTTAAAACTTATTTATTTTGGAATATAGGGAACTGACTGAGATTAAATATATAGGGAAATGCAGCCTGAGGGCAATTCCAGTATTTTCCGCCCGCCCCGGCATTTTCCGCTGCCACGGTCACACCATTCAGCTGCTGACGTGCCGCAAAGCAAATTGTTTACGTGAAAATCGTTGAATCGCAGCCGAGAAATCGCACAAAATGCTGGACATTCAGACGCATATGGTAGGTACTCATGCGGCGCACGCCCAGCCACGTCTAAATCTCTCTCGCCGCAGGACTTCGCCGGCCAGGGCAAGGCGGAGCGCTGGTCGCGCTTCATCATCACCTTCTTCGGAATCGTGGGCCTCATCTACGGCGCATTCGTGCAGCAGTTCTCGCAGACGGTGTACATCCTGGGCGCCGGCTTCGTGCTCTCCTCCTTGGTGAGTAGCTGTCCTGGTAGCGCCTCCATAGCTAACAGCCTGCCCCGCTCCACAGATCACCATTCCGCCGTGGCCGCTCTACCGCCGCAATGCGCTCAAGTGGCAGAAGCCCATCGAGACGGACGCCAAGTCGTCCAGTTCCGAGTCCGGCGACGAGGGCAAGAAGAAGAAGAAGCAGTAGTAGCCGTAGTCTAGCTGTAGGCCAGCCGTAACGTGTACTTCTCACTATCCAATATCCAATACAAACTACATACTTAGCGAGCTAGATGGGTCGTCGGTAGGCGATGAGATCGTTGTGGTCGTAGTACTTGTGGATGAGGTCGTACATGTGGGCGAAGAAGAACAGCAGGTTGTCATACTGCCCGTTGTATGGCGCCTCCCGGCCCACGTCCGCGATGGCGCTTTGCGTGCGGAGAGGCGCCGCCAGCTGGTGGAAGCCCTCGGTGATCTCCAGGTTGTCCAGGCCACGGTACTGTGTGTTCAGGCCCCAGGCATTGATGTGCACCTCCAGCAGGAACTGGTGTATGGCCTCAATGGTGGCCAGGTACCAGCGCGGACTGCCGCGCTGGTGGCGCCAGAACTGGGAGAGTCGGTTCTGCAGCACCACGGTACGCAGGCCGCGCACCCGTTCGTCCGCGTAGATGCCGCGACTCTGGTTCCATGTGCTGTCTATGAACACGGCTCGGCGGACGGGCAGGTTGTCCAGCGTCCAGGTTCTCCGCTCGTGCCGCGCCTGCGGCTCCTCCAGCTCCACCTCGTCCATACGCCGGCGCAGCATGGTGCCCATGTGATGGCCCTTGGGCAGCCCGTAGTTGTCGCCAGTCTGCAGCCGCACGTTTCGCTCGAAGAGCTGCGGCACCGCGAGCGCCGTGGCGCTGGGAAAGATGAGCACCACTCCCGGCTCCGCGCGGTAGTCGGGTATGTCCGGAAATGTGTGGATGCGCACGTGCCGCGGCGCCAAAACGGCCGCGTGCACCGCCGAGCTCTTGCCGTCGATCTCCTTCTTGTGCTTGATGATGTCCACCTGCAGTGGCAGCTCCAGGCGGGGCAGCAGCTCCTCCAGCTCGCCCACCGGCACGTAGCAGCTGTAGCAGAAGAATTTGCGAGATCGGTTGCACAAGCGGCAGTTGTGGCGGCCCTCGATGGTGTCCAGCACGCTGTGGTCCGAGATGCGCATGTGCACGAAGGGGTACTTGCGGTGGCGCTGTGGCGCCTCCAGGGGATGCGTCATTGTGGCGGAAAGTCGCTTTCAAATTGCAACTTGAAATTACAAAATTCGTGGGGAAAGTGCCAATTTAGTTATCGATAACCAGCGGCTGATGGGACCAGGGCTGCAGAGCACTCTCTGCACCAGTTGGCTGGAATAGCCCATTTGAGATGTAAAATCAAAGTAAAATATGTGTAAATTATAAGCAAAAATGTAATTTATCCTTAGGTCATGTCAACTGGTAGCTGCTATGAGGGAACTTTCCACATAAATGGATTGGGGAACTTCCACGTCGAATTTGATTGCCCAGCCCTGCTTGCACCTGCTAGCCAAACGGTCACACTGTGCCAAACAAATCAAAAGCCGGCAAAGTTGTGCAAAAACTAACAAAACGAATTTGAGAGTCTTTTCGCGGATTAAAATATGTAAAGAACAATGCGCGGCATTCGCAAGTGTGTGCACTGTGGCGCCATCAACGGAAACCGGGCTCTGATCTGCAAGAACTCCGCCTGTCCGCAGCGCCGGAACGTACTGGACGCCGTGCAGCTGGTGTCGCTGCGGCCAGGCTCCACTGTATACTCGCTGCGCACCAAGGAGAAGGAGCAGCAGCCGCGCAACTTTGTGGTCATACAGGACGTCACCCTGTCGCTGCAGCCGGATGCTGCAGTGGTGTCCAGCAAGGCCGAGTGCTTCGTGGAGTCGTGCAAGAAAACGGGAGGCCAGCCGGCGGACTGCGTCCATGTGAAGGCTTGCCGGGAGCTGGGCACCGAGTTCGCCAAGGCGCAGGTGTACCGCGTGTCCCGCGAGGTGCTGTGGAACCTGAACATCAGCCTGGAGCAGAAGCAGAACCTCTGGCAGCTGTACAAGTACGCCGAGGAGGAGGAGCACCTGCCTGGCGTGCAGCGCCTGAATCACTCCACATTCGCCGTCAAGTGCGAGCGCTCCGAATCCTTTCCAGCTGCTCGACTGCACGTCACCGTCTTGGCCAATGGCTTGTCCAAGAAGAAGAGCAGCTACGCCTGCGCGTGCCGCAAGCTGAAGATCATAGTGGAGCCGGATAATTCGCTGGTGATGCAGGACGAGATCTGCGATCATCTGCTGCTCGTGCTGGCTGGGATCCTCAGTTCGCCGCAGGGAAAGCGAGTCTATGGCCACTTTACCAGTGGCTTGCAGAACTTCTGGATGCCCTCGCAGCTGGAAACTCCGCTGGGCGATGTGGCCCCCGGGGATTTGAGGCTCAGCTTGGACATGGTGGATGAGTTCGACCCGCAGGTGGACATACTCGTGTTCGGCGATCAACTAGATGTGAGTTACATCACCCAAATCCACCAGTTTTTAACCTTTTCTATTTAACTATAGCTTCCCTTGCCGGATCTCTCCGATGGCGTCTTTAACCTGGACAACATGCAGGCCGCCACTTCTAGTCACAGCACCTCGAGCACCAACGATGCCTTGATCCACTATGCCAACGACTCGCAGCTCCTGTCCAATTGCGATGTTTATGCGGAGCCCATTGAGCTGACCGACTGCAATATTGAGCTGATGGATCAGTATCAGCCCACCGATCAGCTGGATATATGCAGCGAGGACATAGAACTGCCCTTGATTAGTGAACCCTACAATATCCTGGCTGCTCCGCCCATTTTCACCGAGGCCACGCCCTCGGTAGTCGCCGATCAGTTGCCCATTGAACTGGCCACCATATCGGTGGTCAAGAAGACACCGGTCAAGTTCTCGGAAATAGTGACTGAGGTGAAGTCTCTGAAGCAGCCCCCTCTGCCGGCCAAAAGGGATTTAATAGTGAATAACGCGGCATCCGCGGCATCCGTTTGCTTAGACGCTTCCGTTCAGCCGGCTTTGTCCTACTCGGCATGGCTGGATCACGTGATCGAGCTGCTAAACGAGAGTTGCGAGCCATTGGACGACACTCCAAGCGGTACGCTCACCAAGCGCTCGGTGCACCAAAACTTCCACGTGCACAAGGTAAACTGATGTCAAGTGCTTAGCCTCCTACTTATCACCTTTTTGCGTATCTACAGGAAACCTTTTCGCACTTTTGCAAGAGCTTCAGCACTGGAATCAAACGACGGCCCGTGGACAAGTTAACTGTGATAGAATCGGGCAAACATAAAGGCCTCAGCAAGTACACCTGGCACTTTGCGAGTCCGCACACCGCGAAGCGCATCTTCAGCACTTCCAACATACAGCTGCAGTTGGATTGCGCCTTCGAGCGGCATGCAGAGGGCCATTTCGTGCCCTACGTGCGTCCTCCCATGGAGCCACAGCTGCCGGGTCAGCCGAAGAAGCGTGTAGTCTACCCAAGACTCCGCCTTTACATGGTTAAGATAGTCTTCGAAGCGGCTCCCAAGGTGAGCTTGCGCTCGAACTGAAAAGAGGTGGTTAATAGCGCTCTAATCCGCAGGACTTAGTCGGGAATGGAGTCCTGCTGACCTGGACCCCGGAAGTTTTGCCACGCAGCCACTTGGGGTTGATGCGCGTGGAGTTCACCGTGGAGACACGATCGCCCAGCTAGGGTAAGTTTGCAATTTGATGTTCTTTATTTAGACGCTTTCGATTTTGTCTGTTCCATTTATCTTTAGTCCATTTCAACTTTCATTGGCTTACGATTAGCTTAGGTGTACATACATATACATACATATATTCATATCATTAATTCTGTTTATCGCGAGACGTTGTCCGATCTTTGAGTCGCATCCTCCTGCTGCAATGGCCTCTACAAGCTGCGGGAAAGTCCCTACTTTCGGGACCCATCAGGAACGGTGAGGTCCCCTCAGGATCTGGGGCAAATGCTTCGTTCTTTAAAATCTATGGTTCGCCTCTGGGTATCTGTATCTTCATCTATTTGCTTAGCTCTAAAATCGTGGGCATGCTTACTTAAGTTCTTGCTACCTTCAGCGCTTTCTCATGAATCGTTTTTAATAATTTTTTTTTTATCTTTCGTGTTTTTTTTTGTATTTTCTTGGGTTTCTTTTAAATTGTTTACGCTTAACTTTGACATTCATCACATTTATAAATTGCATAACACCGTCAATTAGATAATCTGTTGCATCTGTTTTTTTGTATCATTCTCAATTACTTTAGTTAATGTGTGAAGGTAGTTTAGTCGTGGAAAGGTTTCCATTTGCTCGAAAAGAGTGTGCACTTTTAATTGGGGGACTTCTGTATAACTCTGTGTGTTCATTGCGCCTTCGCAATGCTGTTGATTAAGCTTCTCTTTTTTTGGCTGCGACGTACATCGCACACTTGCAACATTATGTACATAATGCATAGAAATATCCATATCCACCTATAGTTGCACCGTACATACTACTATTAATGTGTTTAACAGTTAAAATGCATAGTTTTTCTCAATATCGTATCGAAATAATATGATTCTTGTTATATTACAGATGAAGCATTTGTTACCATTGCCGGTGTCAGTATGAGAAATTTACAAGCCCTTCTAGCGTATAAGTAGTCTTAGCCTAAGTCGGGTCTAGTGCCTAAGAAACATAATCTCACAAAATTGGTCATTAGTTGGTTGGTTAATATGTAGAGCCGCCTATTTGGTATCAGCTGACAAATGATTGGATTGATACGATCAGATTGAAGGGTGCTCCCTCCCACCCGAATCAAGTCCGCATCTACGGGGTCTGCATCCTCAAGTAGTCTGACTACATGCGATTGGGTGGACACGGTATGCGTCTTGGGGGAAACTGAAGGACCTTTGACATTCGTTCATTTACATAATCAGTATACATGCTTATTCAAGTTAAAGTGTACAAAAAACCAGTCTTTAAAACATGTTTGTTTATCGTTTCTTATGTTCTTCTTCTTTTCCACTAATACTTTACATATAAAATGTAAAAATATTCACTAAATTACTTTACTGGCGCTCTACTCGCTGTGTGGGGAGATATACTTGCTATCTGCCCGATCTGGACAACTCCAAACCATTAGCCATGGCAATTCAGAGTGCTAGGTTTAATCCTAATTCGTATCCACCTCCGGGGCTAACTTTAAGAACTGTACAGGTTAATATTACGCTGTTAGTCGGGTCTATCAAATATGGAAACACCCTGTGCATCGTGCATCGATAGAGGAAAACAAAACTTAAACTGAGTTTTCATTGGGATTTTCTTTTATCTCGCTTTTCACATGTATCGTATATTTTAATAATACTTCGCTTGCGACTACTGGCAGATTTACACTTAGTTGTCGCCGTTGCTTACTTTACTTTTTATTTTTACAATATTATTAGATTTATTAGCTTTGCAGAGTGATGGGTTTCTGGCCACATTTGACCACATTTTTACAGTATCTCTTATCTGATTTTCCGGCCTAAGCTGTATTTACAAATTTTCGTGATGCCTGGTGCTTTGTGCGGAAATCATGTGATTTATTTAGCTTTGATTGGGATTTACAGTGATGTGTGGTGTAAAGTGCTCGGTAACTCGGCGTATTGCCCACTAAATTCGCAATTAATTTGTAGCTAGGTTTGTTCGAGTTTGTCTTTTTGTATTGAACTGCACTTAAACTGGAACCAATTGATAGGAAGGCAAAAAGAATAACAGATACTAGGACGGACTGAATCGATTCGAAATGCAAAAAGGTGCTCAATCAACTAGGTTAGTTGGTTCGGCAATTCAACTAATAATCATTACTTTAATAGGACTTTTGTGGGGCTTAAAAAATCATGGCACAAGTGTGTGCAGCATTAGTCTGCATTAACGTTAGTTATATGTAATCAGCGTATATAAATGATTAGACAAATATGTTATTAACTCTACTTGTTCAATTTGTGCATTTTGCTACGTTTTCCACTTTAGATTTGCGATTATTTTTGTTCTTTACTGCTTTACGGCTTCTGACTTTCTTTCTTTTATTTTTTTCCCTTCTGACTAAATGTGGGTAAAGTATGGTGTATAAAAACCTATGTTTACGATATAAAAAACTACACAAGACGAAATAATTTAGATAGTTTTAGGGGGAACAACTGAGGGCATAAGTCACAAAGTTAGAGTAAAACATGAGCTTACGGGCGAACGAATAATTTATGGACACAGCGCTAGACGCTCTGCACTCACTTAAACGACTTAAGGGTTAATAAATACATTGCTATGTACGTAGGTGTAAGGTTTAAATTTAAGTATTTATATTTAAACATTTATAAAATGATTTAAATTCCCTCTCTGTAAATTTATCTTTAGTTTAGCCTACAATATCTAGGTTTTGAGCATCTGTCGCCGCTGCGCTTGTGACGTTGTTGTTGGTAATATGGTTGTTGTTGGTGATCGTTGGTGAGGAGGTTGGTGAGTTGTCCGCATTGTTCATCAGCAGGTCACCGACGTTGTTGTGATGTTGGTGCGTGTTGTATTGTTGTTGCAGTTGCGTTTGTTGTTGCATCAGGGCCAGCATTTGTTGTTGTTGGTGTTCCATCAGATCAGCAGCGTTGTTAGTAACAGTATGGAAATTGGCATTAGTAAGGGTTAAACTGTTCTGGGATGCGAGTGGTGGTATTGTAGGTATTGTGGGTGGGACTGTTGGTGTCGTTGGAGTCGTTGGTGTTGCACTCGCACTTGCACTCGCACTTGCACTTGCAGTTGCTGGCGTGGCCGGTGATGCTGCATTGGCGACTGCGGGTGAGAACTGGTGGGTCAGGTCTGATGGCGATGGCAGTTGGATGGTTTGTGGGGATGGTGTTGGAGTACTTGGTAGTGGTGGTGTGGTGGATGAACTGGAGGACAGAGGAGCGACTGTGGGCGGTAGCAATGACAGAATGGGCAATAGGCTTGGATTAGTATCGGTGCTTGGTGTGCTGACTGTCTCATTGAGTGCTGTCTGTTGTTGCTGCTGCTGCTGCTGCTGCTGTGTCTCTAGATGTTGCTGCTGCAACTGCAGCATGTGCAGCTGCTGCTGCTGCAGTATGACATGCTGTGGAACATTACCATTGCTGCATATTTTGCTATAGAGATCCGGCGTGGCCGTTGTCACATCCTCGAATTCAGTCCGAAGCGCCGTGCGCTTCAGCAGGTTCAAATTGCCAGGCAAAAATGAAAGTATGTTGTAGATGACACGGATGTCCTCGCTGGATGTCCACACCCCGGGTCGCTTGTTGTGGTACAGCTTCGCGTACTGGTACACATTCGCCGTGCTGCAGTACTCCATCTCGATGGCCAGCGAGGAGATGGCGCAGAAGGTGCACGCCTGGGCGCCACCATATCTTCGGAAGAGATGTACCAAATTGAGATGACTTCATAGCCACAAAAGGCGCCTTAAACTCACCTATCCACAATGACGATGGGTCCATTGCGGTAGTCGTTGCAGCGCTCGTGCACATCGACGATGAAGTCGTAGATGCTGTTGGGATTGGACATCTCTGGCCAACTGGGACAGTGGAGCATCTTGACCGTCAGCTCGTAGTCGTCCTGTATCGACTGGATGACAAAGTCGCGGCTCACATAGTCGCTCTTGTTGGTCTTGTTCAGAAACTTGACGCGATAGTGATCGCTCTCGATGGGCGTGGCCTCATCCGGCCAAAACTGGGCGAAGTTCTGTGGAGTACATTTGGATTAGTGTCACGATTCGATGAGCAGTCCCATGCAACCTACTATATCGTCCAGGGATGAGAGCAGCACGACGGTCTGTGCATTGTGGTCCCAGACCATCTGCCAGAAATCCTTTATCGTGTGCGCCATGGGATGCTGGGTGACTATGAAGTCCCTTAGCCTCCGGAAGCCGTGCAGCCAGGAGGCGTTGATATAATCGCTGCCATCCTCGCCCGGCTTGGGCGTCAAGTGCACCCGACTGCCCTCGATGGGAAAGATGGCGCCGCGGTTCTTGATCGAGTTCACCTGCTTCATGGCGGATGCAATGTGTATATCCTTCGGCTGGAACTGGATGATGTTCTTGTACTGCTGCTCCAGGTAGGGAGTGCAGTTCTTCAGCTCCTCCACCTGCTCGGCCATCAGATTGGTCTCCCCCGAGGCGATGGCCTCCACCAGAGCGTCGTGCAGGAATATGTACTGCTCCTCGGTTTGCACCAGGAAGTTCCTCTGAGCACGAATGTGGCGCAGGAAGCCAAACACGTTGACGATGTTCTTCTGCTGGATCTGCTTGAGCATGGCGTCCAGGACGATATAGGTGCCAGTGCGACCAACGCCAGCGCTAAATAGTAAATTAAAGTATGACATATATAGATGTTGAATACTGAGGATCTTCAAAGTGAAGTTGCCCACCTGCAGTGCACGACTATGGGACCAGCCTCTGCGGGATTGGCGGCCGAGGATTTCTTGACAAAGTTCAGCACGGGTAGAGGATGATCGGGTGTTCCGTGGTCGGGCCAGTTGGTGTAGTGGTATTGGTAGACCAGCTTCTCGGTGTTGCACTGCTTCTTCTTCTTGAGCTGGGATGTGGGGTATATTTGGTTAATTTAAAGAACTATTGCAGCTGTCCAAAGTAAACCCACCTTCAAGTGCTTGATCTGCAGAGTGCGCACAGTGTAGGTGGACATGACCTCCTCCTCGATGAGCTTGACCTGGATCACGCCGTAGGTCTCCACCCCATCCTTCGGCCAGTACATGTCGCACTTGCGCCTGCCGCGCTCCACCAGATTGGTGATCATCACTATGATGGCCACCCGCTGCTCCCAGATCATGCGCCAGAAGCAGTCGAAGGTATCGGGCAAGGGACCCTGGGTGCCGATGAAGGCGTGTCCCTTTTGGTAGCCATCGATGAAGTTGGCATTGATGTAGTCCAGGTTCTTCTTTTGTCCCGGTGTGGGATGCAAGTGCACCCGACTGTGGTCATCTGGGATTTACGAGCAATTGAACAATAATTATTTGTAATAAAAAAACCCATTACGGTTTGCAAGCTTGCAGTCATAAAAAGTGGTTATCTAATAGAACTTCGACTTACAGGCCGTGATGTTGAGATAGCGATTCTTGCGTTTGTTCTCGGGATGCTGCGAGTGCTCACATGGCAGATCATCGCTGATGCACTCGTTCTGGATGGCCTCATACTCCCGGCTGAATCCAATGTCTCCGTCCGCGTGCAGGGAAGCCACGTGCTTGGCGAACTCGTTTACGGGCACGGCTGCACGGATCTCGTCGCCAATCTTCACGGGCACTTCCCAGTCCACCTGGGGGGCATTCGGGTGGTGTGGCGGGTCGTCCAGGTAGTAGTAGGCCGCATGGAAGCACTTTCTGCTGAAAGGAGTGAAAGGAAATGCCAGGTGTTACAAAGGATTGTCTTGAATGTGGCTTTTCATCTTCAAACCAACCACTTCAGAGTTGACTGTTCCCATTAACCTACATAGACTGTAGACTGTTTCTCCTGTTCTTTAAACTAAATCCCATTAGTTGACTGGAGCGGAATTCCCACTGACCACTGACCAGTGGCAGAAGTATCCTTTCAAAAATGGCAGGCTACTTTGCAGTGAGTGTAAATTGTATTTAACAGGGAGAACATAATTTCTTTGCCAAAGTTGTGGGCTCTCGAAACCATAAAGCAGCTGCAATCAGTTAGGGCGAATCAGCGAAAGGTGTCAGGTGGGCGTGGCCGACGACAAGCTCCTAACGAAATCAGAATGCATAAATAAGCAGGTGGAAATGCTGAGGAGCAGGTGGCCAGATAACAGAAAGTGGGTGGTGGTCAGCACTAATGGCATTCGCTTGCAGCCAGGCGTGAGGACCACCAACTGAATCCTTTCGCCAGGACACTCCAGTGGCCCAAAGCCGCTCCAAATGAGTGACAATGATGGGAAAAGGCGGGCATTATGGCCGTTCAATTGCTATACACAAATTGAGGTTAAGTTTCTGTAATTGGCTTAAGCGATTACAAGGAGCGCGCAGAACTTTGGACCAAGTTTCGCCTGCAAGTGCACTCGACCAGCCAGCACAACTTGGCAACTTGCCAGCAAAGTTTGCCACTCGCCTCC